GAAATGTAATTCCATTACAATTTTGTAAGAACGTGGAAAAATAGACCTATATACTTGAATACAATACAAATAGCCAAAAGATGTTGAACCTAGAAGGTTACATATGGGCATTTGTAATACAGTGAAATACACTCACATGATATGACATAAGTTATTGAAACCTGAAATTATACTCTTGTAAACGAGTTCATATGAATGTAGAATTATATATGAAGAGTTGTGAGTCGCCCACATCATATCTCTATAAGTAAATCCATCAATTATACATGGGAGCAAGTTGCTCTGTATAAATTCCAAAGGAAAATGTGTCATGAAGTGTAAAAAATCCCTGAAGGATTCAAATTGCTTGAAGTAAGCTCTGGAAGGGTAAAGCATGAATTATGTACTCAATACCAATGCATAGTATAAATTGCCTTAGTGAGTACTATCATTATGATATTGTTGCAACATACTAAAATCTTTTGCAAGAGTCAATAACATTAAATTAGAACTCCTTAAGAGTTGATGATATTAAATTGAAACTCCCGAAGAGTCTAGAAAGATTATAAAGTGTTGAGAGAAATATTGTCTCGAACTGCAGATCGAACAAGATGCCAACACGAACCTTATCCATGATGTTTATGATATTAAAAGAACCATATGGATTGAAGATCATGAGTTGAAAACTCAATTGGCTATTAATATTTAGACACTAAGAAAAATCATTCATCCTCGTGAGAGAGAAGATGAATTGATATTTGGTCCAGAAGTACCACATCTTAGTGAAGTATATGCTTTATTATATTTGACACAATACATTGAATGAAATAAAGCTTATGTATTGATATCTCCGAGATATTACAGACATGTACATACACATGAGTTAAAATGAACAAACATCTTTCACAAAGGTTGCTCATGTGAAGCCTTAGTACTCGGAAATACCCCGGAAGGGAGAGGCACCAGAGGTTGATTATTTGAAGCCTCAGTACTTGGTGAAACTTCAGACGGTTGAGACAATGGGTGTCTTTGGAATAAAGACTTGAACTCCTGATTGTCATTTTGAGTCCAACTTTCGGATTCCAGTAGCTGGTCAAGCTTTCTTTTCATGCTCGTCGATTAATTATTTGCAAGCATGTGTAACACTATATTCTCATGCTTGAGCCCTCTAATATCTTGTTTAAGACTTGCCACCTCAGCCATCAATGATTCAACTTGGTGAGTTCGAGCAAGTAAGCGTTGGCCTATATTAGAAACGGAGCCCACAAATTGAACACTGAGAGCCAAGGAGTCTTGAACGGCCGACTCATCAGACCGGTTTGAAAGGATTCTGTTATCCTTGGGAGTGAGAAGATTCCTAGCTACTATTGTAGCGGTTAGGTTATTCTTTATCACAGAGTCCCTAACCGTAAGAGGACCATTTGAAAATAAGAAAGACGGGCGCCATATATTATCCTGATATGGCTCGCCTGTATTAGTCCTAAGACTCAAAGCTAAGCATATGTTAAATGGGTAAGCCATTTTTCAGAAATGGTGAAGGAAAAATGAGGTTAGATAAAATCTCAAAAGTGCAAGAAGAGTAAATTTCTGCAGGCAACAATTTTCTGAGTGTATCTGAACAAAATTGATATATCTATATAAGAAGAGGCAACAGGGTCACTTGTTCAAAAATCGAAGAGACATCGCTCTCCGAATTTCAAAAGCCAGATCTTCAGGATAAAGTTCGTCAACATTTCTTACACGCAATCTCAGCTTTTGGATATCACGTGCAACTTTGTCAAAAGATCTCTGACAAAGTTGAAAATGCGTGAATTTCACTATTCCAACTACAACACTGTTGCCGACAAGCTTGGATGCTATTGAGAAATTCCTATATATGTCGACCTCTATCTTCCATAACAAAGCAGACCTGCAAAAGTATCTAAACTCTTCCTCATCTCCAAAAATGCATTTGCAACCAAACCTCTCAACATACTCAGTTTTCTTTCTCTTCGAGAATACCTCTTCAAAACAAGTCATACCAGAGCAAGAGTACCTCATATCATCAAGGACGAGGGTAAGAGTATCTTATATCATGCAATCTCCCTGTCCTTTCCTTTGTCATTGTCCTTACTTGCAAATACAAGGATAAAGAAAGCAATATGTCGGAACCTCCACTCAAACTTCCGGTAAGGAACCGACTACCTGGAAACTTGATTGCTTACCTAGCATTGTTCTCGAGTAGCCATTTTCAACTGTTGATGGAGCTGGGTCTCCAGTCACCATGAAGTGATGAACCATCCAAATGCAAGGGTTGCATTCCACTCCTGCATCAGGGGACAAATACTACAAGAGAAGATCACATATGCATGGGGGAAAACCAGGGAAAATACAACTTATGCAAGGGGAACAAGTAAGGCAAGTGAAAATGATACATTGAAACATATGGAGACAAGTGCAACAAACATGTGCTGATTCATCCCCGACAAAGCCGAAGATCACTTGCCACGTGAAGCTTTTCATGGTCCAATTTCATTCAAGAGCAAGTCTCGAAGGTCCTTGAAGAAATCACAAGTCCGATTCAAGATCAAGTGTCCACTACCCTTGAATCAAATTCCGCTCCAGATAAAAGGAGTAAATTCAGACCTTTGATGCAGGTCTAACAGAAAGCCATCCAACCCAGTTCAAGAAATAGCTTGTGGAAAGTCAACAAGTACAACATATGTCTTACTACTCATCAGAGGGAGCATCCAAAAACAGATCAAGGTTTTAACGAGTCAATTGAAGACTTATGGCTATCCAAGGGGGGGTGTTGTAAAGATGGTTAGCCAATAAGAGCTAGTTGTCCACTCAACAAAGGAAGTGGAAATTTAGGCTGGCCACTAAGAACATGTTCTTCCACTAGGAGCTATCGGCTGCATGCTTTTGGTGCTCTTGTTTTCCTATAAATGTAAGACTTATGGAACACAAAATGAAGAGAGAGATACGGCAAAGAGAGGAAGGAATGAAGAGGAAGAGAGAAAAGAAAGAGAGAAGAGAATAGAGAGAGAGTTATCTTTGTAATCTTATTATTTCAGATTATAAATGGAAAGCATCACTACTGCCCTGAGAACGTACTCCAGTCACAGACTGTAGAGAAACCTTGTAAATTTTGTGTCTTATTTATTTATTTCATTGCACACACCGTCAATTTTACAACACAATGTCTTTTAGCCCTCATTTTTTCTAGGAGTACAAATAAGAAAACAAATTAAAGAAATAGCAATCCTAAAATTCCATTTTGGGCTAGCAAATGGAGTTTGGCAAAAAAATATTCATATATTAGGAACTAGGGGTGGGTTCGGTTCAAATCGGTTAGGTTTTTTGCCAAAACTGAACCAAATCAAAATTTCGGCTCGGTTCATTTTTTTTCGGTTCGTTTTTTTTTCGGTTCGGTTTTTTCCAGTTCGGTTTCGGTTCGGGTTCGGTTTTTTTTCTTTTCAAAAAATGAAAAACATTGAAATTTTAAATTTTAACATCTCCAACACAATCATAACATAATCATTCTAACTAGAATCAAAGACAATGAAAATAAACATTTAAAGTTGAACTAAAATCATCAATCAAGTCTACCAAAGTCCAAACTAACAACCTCACAACACAAAAATCGTACAAATGATTTAGAAAAGTTAAATTGTATGATGTTGTTCAAAGATCATGGTTGTTTGCTTGTAACTACATGTTGACAACTTGATTAGTAAAAGTAATGCGTGGGTGGATTTATTTAGTGTGTGTTGGATTATTTTCCATCACAAATTACGCAAGTAATCTACCCGAAATAAATGTTTATGGATTTTATTACATGTTATATGAGAGTAGATTTGGAAAAGAAAGCTGGGGCAGAAGTAGACAGTGCTATGAAGATGGATGTAGGTACTTTAGGAGGAGGTTTGGTTCCGGAACCTTATATGGGGGAGAAATAATAGGTTAGAGTTTAGAGTTTTTATAGGCCTTTTTTTAATATTTTGAACTTAAAGTTTGGCAACACATTGGGTTTAGCACATTTTAACTTACAAATTGGGTTTAGAAAATAATACCCAAAACAAATAATTAAATAAAAAATTTAATTTAATTAATTCGGTTCGATTTGGTTCGGTTTCTAGATCACTAAAACCAAACCGAACAAAAAGAATTCGGTTCGGTTGGGTTTTTTCGTTCGGTTCGGTTTTCGGTTTTTTGAACCCACCCTTATTAGGAACAAAATGACAATGTTTTTTTTTTGCGATGTCATTCTCTTCAAAACGCGGGTCGTGTCCCCAAGTTTGCAATGCATGGGCCGTGCTATAGATTTTACGGCTTTTAGTTTATTCTACATCACAAAAACAAGTTATTAAGTTGGAGACTTCATTTCTCAATCTACAAATATTCAAGAGCATTCATTACTACACTTAAGGTCTCGAGTTCGGTACTCCTTTCATGAATATCAATAGTATAAATTTGCATAGTATGTTGGAGTGTAAAACTATGAAGTAAAATATTTTGGTTTTCAAAGTGCAAGTGCATATATGAGTTAAATCAGTTTGTTAAAGTGTTTGTTATATCCTTTTATTGTGCATCAAAGTTAAAATCGTGCTATATACAAATTAGTTCAGGGTAATTTAAATATCATCATATATACAACAACAACAAAATATTTTCTACTAAGTGGAATCGATTATATAAATACTAAAACACTATTGTGCTCGGTTGTGTGTACATATGTAAACAAACTTGTATTAAATAAATTACCCTTAAAAATCTCTTTGAGATGCTCGTATTAGATTTTGGGGCTTAGATATTACCCATTCAACAAAGTTATAGGCAGTTAACAAGTGACCATTTATCATAATATTGAAGAAGAGTGTTGTGTTCGTACTATAACGCAAGTTCGAACTTTGTCAACTTTTTAATATAATATTTAATCTAATAAATCTATCGTTTGACAAAAATAAAAATAAAAATAAAAATAAAAACCAAAGTATTGGGCAGTTTCTGTATACTTAAAATTAAAGTAGTGAAAAAGCAAATTTCATCAAAATAGTTGAAACTTGAAAACAACATTTTGGTTTCAGCTGCAACTTTTACATTTCACAAGGAGCGCGCGAGTTTTGGTTCTTCCGTTGATTCGTGAACCTGCGATGGCGAGCTCTCTGCAGCGCATATCAAGCCACGCTCGTCTTCTCCGAGCCTCTGTTGCCTCAGGATCCAGTCCGTTCTCGACGGACGCTCTAGTCGAGTACATGCCCGGTGAGATCGGAAAGGTCGCCGGCATTCCCGACGAACATCTTCGCCGGAGGGTATGATCCTTTTCGTTTTCCTTCTGAAATTCAATTCGGATTTTTCTCTAATTCTGACAGAGTTTCTGAAATGGATTCACATAACCCAATCCGATTTTTTGGTTTATGGATCGAGAATTAGGGTACTGGGCATGGGTAATGTTAGGAGATCAAATTTCTAAACTGAATTTTGTGATGTAGATGTTGATGATTTGATTATTACTTAATGTTGATTATCGTGCTTATTTTCTATTGGTACACTTCATTTGATTTGCAAATTTGGTCTTCTAGAATTATCTCAAGGGCGGAGCTACTAAGGCCCAGAGGGGGCATCTGCCCCCACTCAGATTTTTGAGCGCTGAAAAAAATTATCATGACAATTAAAACAACAATTAAATTTTTTATTTTGGTTCCGAATATTTCACGTTTTCTAACCTAAATCAAATTCAATTGAACTGAGGGTTTCATAAATAGATTGGATTCAACCGATGAAGTATCATAACTTGATATAAAAATTTTACTCTGCAAAGTATTTTATATGAACTTACTTCATCCATTCATTTGTGGCATTACAATTTAAAATTTAACTTTTTAATTTAGAGATTTTTCATTGTACCTGACCCTCAACAACTTAACACCCATTATTTTACTTGGTTGTTTTAGGACGCCCCCAGTCAAAAACATTTCTAGCTCCGTCCTTGCATTATCTATTGGGTATATGTCAAATTTAGGGCCGTTTGATAATCACTTCGTTTTCAGTCTTTAGTTTTTGGTTTTTGGTACCTATGCATTGGTAAGAAAATAGTAAATTTTGAGGTTGAAGTTTCTATTTTTTTAGTTTTTGATGAAAGTCACAAGCTTGACATGGTTAATGTCATTTTTTTTTAAATTTAAAATTCATTGTGATTGGGAAGTTATTCATTTGTGGGGATGCATGACAGGTTATAATATACTCACCTGCAAGAACTGCATCTCAGCAAGGATCGGGGAAAGTTGGGAAGTGGAAAATCAACTTTGTGTCAACACAAAAGTATGTTTTTTGGTTCCCCATTGTTATAGTTCCTATTGGAAAAGTACTTTTGGGCTTTTGAGGGATTGCTGATTCGGTTATATATTTTGGATTTGTTTCCGAAGGGTTGTATCTTTTGATCTGGTTCACGGTGGGTAGATAGGTTTTATACTGCTTAGTTTTTACAGAGTTTTGTGTTAACCAATGTGAATGTTGTGTTATCGCTTATCAGTCAATCTCTTCATTTATAACTGAACTTTCCATTTTTGAACATTTTCTGCTCCTCTGATAGTTTTAACATGACAATAAAACCTTAGAACTGCGCTGCTTTAGCTAGATGGCACCTTTCTTGGATTTTGATTGGGATATTTTAAGTCAGGTCATGGTCGAGCCTTGAAATAAGCTTCTCTTTGTTCTCTCTTAAATATCAGATGATTATTATGTTAGCATAATTGGATGATTAATGGCTCATCTTTGTGATACGTTTGTAGGTGGGAGAATCCATTGATGGGATGGACTTCCACTGGGGACCCATATGCACACGTTGGTGATTCGACACTGGGTTTTGACAGTGAAGATGCTGCAAAGTCCTTTGCAGAGAGACATGGTTGGGATTATGTGGTATGTTTTGTTCATGTTCTTTGTGCTCCATCGGGTTTAGGGCTGCCCTTTGTTGTGTTTCTTAAGGAGATTTTGTGTGTTTTTAACCTAGGGATATATTCATCCCCCATGTGGGGAAAAAGAACTAGGCATATAGTCATTGAATTCCAGATATTACCTTCCAGCTATAAACGATTTTGTGCTTGCATATTCGTTATGGTAGTAGACTGGTAGCCCTTTAACTGTTGGTTTACTTTGAAAATATGTTCTTTTATGATGGGTGCAAGTTCTTTTATCTCTGATTTTTTATTTTAACTTCCCCTTGACCTAATGATGACAGTTCTTGAACTCATCTGCAGGTTAAAAGGCGGCAAACGCCATTGTTGAGGGTATGTGATTCTTTCTTCGTACTCTCTGAAGCTATTTCCATTCTCATAACAGTTTCTTTTTGTTATTATTTCTTAAATGTATTTATGGTTTTTGGGGTAGCACCCATACAGAAGGCTGTTGTCATTTGAGATTAAGATGTTGGTTCCGTTTGGGAATTAGAATATAAAATCATCGTGAAATTTTCATGAATCACAAGCCTTTGGTTTCTTTTTCCTGATAAAGCTAGGACCTGCTCTGAAGGACCTGTAGAAGCTACAACTGTTGTCATTTCAGTTTTCGACTCCATTGATTTTAGCTCCCGAAGCCATAATTTTCTATATGAAGTGTTTTATTGAAGTTGTACAGTTCTTTTTTCTTTCTGCCAGTGCCAATTCATGCCAAAACAGTTTAGCCGCTTTAAGCTTTGTGTGTGGTAGTACGGAGAATAGATTGGCAAAAATGTCAGCAGGATAGTCCATTTCTAGTTAGGTAGTTAATCTTAGCTGCTTCCTATTTTCCTGGAATCGTTAAGAAATGGAGTAATGAGGTGTTGCCTGTCCTCGAGATAGAAATTTCTGATTATTTGTATTAAAGTATTGGGGTTTATTTTATTTAATCTTGAGATGTAAAAATGAATCTTTCTTACTGTATCTCTGGCTTCAGGTGAAGGCATATGCAGATAACTTCAAGTTTAAAGGCCTCCCCAAAACTGAGGAGAATTGATTTTGCTTCAAAGGTTTTGTTTCCGTGGTCAATCTCGGGAGGGAGGTTGTTGCAACAATTCTTTGCAGTACCCTTGTCGTATTTCATCAGCGAGTTACTTGATCCAAATGAAACAGACTACAATAATAAACGGCCATTATGTAGTGTTGAATTGATTGGTTTATGTGATCAAACAGTTGGATGGTAATGGGTAGATCATATGTTCATATATGAAGAGGGAATCCCAGTTGGATCTTTTACCAATAGCTTTAGAACGAACCATTTCCATCGCTAGTTTGATCTTTCCAAATATCAGTTCAATATATAACCAAATTCGCCCATCATTTATTAAGAAAATTTGCTATTCCGTCAGTGTGACGAAGCGATCATCGATTTAGATACATAACTCATAATTCAAACACGCTGATAGATTTGCACTTCGATAATCCTGAACCAGGTTGAGAACTGTTGAAGTTGTATCCGCCATGATACGGCTGCTAAACACGGTGAACAGAGAATTTGCCGGCAACATTTTTAACCTCAAGTGAAGTCCTTGTTAACAGTAATTCCGCTAGCATCTGGTAATAACTGCTTAATATAATACTTGGATTTACGCGACAGATTGATCTTTGTCCGCCGCCTCCCTGGTATTGATTCAATCGAACATTGTGAAAAACCGCGTCTCACAAACCTGTGACAGAAACGGGTGTCATTCTTCAAGACTGATCACTGAACGTTTGTTTTTCTTATAAAAAAAATAGAATGAAGCGCCGAGGAATACGTGCAATAACCATATCTAACCCTCACGTGTGAACCATCTAGAAGCATAAGTAGGCTACTATAGCATGTATTTCAATTAGTAGAAACTAACCAGTCTGCAGTGCGGGTTGTAAGCAAGAAAAGCTTCTCCAATCCGAGCGAAGATGCCTTCTTCTCAATGTAATCTGCAGATATTAAAAGTTGTAAGAAATTATGGACTGTAACAGTAACGATAATACAGTTTGCAGATATACAATAGTATACATGGTCCAAATTGTCCCTTTGTTTTTAATTGGGTGCCAAATTTCAGTTCTAAGTATCTTGGGTTAAATGAATCCAAGATGTTCAGTAGAAAAAGAACAGGAAGAAACAAGATGTAATCCAACTCTATGTAGCTTAGGCCAGAAGTATGTGCGCTGATGTGAGCTGTTACTGATGTTTCCACCTCTTTCTGATATATACCATCCACTTTTTTAGGAATATATGATATCAGTACAAGAGTGGAAGTTTACAGTAACGGTAAAAGTACTTTTTTCGTAAGAGTAGAATCATTGGACATGCTGCGAGAAAGAGAGCAAATTCATATTTTCGGCTATAACGTGAATATGATTAGCTACTGTTAATATAATTAGGGTAGTGCTATCTGCACAACTATTTTTACTTCTCACACACCCCTCTCAATCTCTGGCCGTCAGATCAAATGAATTGAAGAAGATCAATGGCCAAAAATTAACAATTGTGTGTGTGAGAAGTAAAAATAGGAGTGTGAATACAACTATCCTGTGATTAAACTTTCAAAAGGGTCAGTAGAAAATATGCTCATCAACGACTAGTGAAGTATATGAGGAAATGAGGAAAGCAACAAGAGAAAGCTATATCGATGCTTATTCAAGTTTTTTACAGTATATTACCAAGTAATTTATCACCCTGCCCTTGACCACGGCAATCAGGAGAAACTGCAATAGCAGCAACCTCTGCACATTTCTCCTCTGGGAAAGGAAAAAGAGCAGCACACGCAATGATCTGACCTTCTCTTTCCACCACAACGAAGCAATCCAATTCTTCACGTAGCTATCAGTACAAAGTCAGTTCAAGAAAACAATACAAATTAAGATCAGTTGCAATTAATAATCACGAGTGAAAGGCAGAAGGTTCTGTAAAACAAAATTTTAAAAGACCATTAACACAGACCTGTTTGTCGCTTCTTGGAACCAATGTGCCAGATGCTTCTAAAGGTTGTATAATTTGTCTTATTCCAGAGAAGTCAGATGCCCTAGCCATCCGGGTTCCTTCATATAGGTCACTAAGAACAAACATTTAATGCACGTCAGTGGATAGATGGAGGAAAACTTATACATAGCAGCATATGTTAGGTACAATTGTTTGCTCTCCTTTTTCATAATTCATGTAAAAAAAACTCGTGAAGTTAAGACTTCAATGGAAACCAAGAAGCTACCCCTATGTACCTAGTATCCAATCTTTAGCATGGGTAACCGATGATGATGATAATATCTTTGGCACAAAAATATTTGGGAATTGTTATTAGCACTCCAAAAACAGCATCCCGCACTCCTCCCTCCTTCCTGGTTTTTTATTTTTAAATTTGAATTCTTTTCTAGAGAGGAGTTCTTTTTTGGAGTGGCAACAAAAACTCACGAATTGTTTTTGAAGTGGTGATTGGAAGATACAAGTTAAATACACATCCAGGAACGATTACAACTTATTTTATGCCCAATCCAAGCAAGATGAGACCAAAACAACCTCTAATGAACTCGTGCAACTCTATCAAATGAATATTTAGATGTAACGTGGTTTGAAAAATTGATGCTTGGATTTCCACTAAAATACCGACTAGGCTAGTAAGCCACAAATGAGGAAAGAAACATAAACCAGAAAAATGTAAATAGCAGACCATCACATCAACAACAAAAAAATCCTAGCAATTAGGACCATCAGCATAGCTTATCATCACATTAAAGTTGATTAGTATCTGACATCAGAAAGTCACAAAATTCAGATACGTTAATTGAAAAAAAAAAAAAAAATATCATACCTAGCCACCATTGTCCCCATTCCATCTCTTTTAAACAATTCCAACAATAAAACTCCCCCTTTAGTTCCATCCAACAGATGTACTCTTTGAACACCTCCCTGGCATTAAATCAGAAACTACCATTGGCTGGGTTCTTGAGATTCAACATATAAAGAAGCTGAAACTTTAACCTATGCAGACACATATTTACTGAAGTTCATAAACCAGGGGAAAAAGGACCGTTATGAGCTTACCCTGCAAACAAAGGCTGCAGCAGCCAATTCGGAAAGGTAACCATTTAATCGACTTTGCCGTTCATGACCTCCAATAGCAAACCCTTGTTCACCAGTCCACAATCCATTCCCATTTTCGAAACCAACACCATTGTGAAACCATGCAGTATAATTTTCCTTAAGAGCCCTCCCATTCTGGTGAGTAGCATTAGGATCACCATATCCAAAGCCAGACAGATTTTCTTCATCAACAGCTTTCACATAACTAGCAGCTACCTCACTCTGCTGAGCCCGCTTACGAATCAACATGTCTGCTTCTTCAAGAGTTAAGAAGCGAACAAGGCGTCCACTCTCGTCAAGAATTGGACCATCTATTATGCAGATAAGTTTATCTGCTTCGATAGCCAAGGCACAAGCTGTTGCAACTTCGTACGTGCTGAAATATATAGAAGCATAAATCATCAGCAACTAGGTATTATATGTGTAAGAAAAGTTGGCAGTAGAAAATAATCAACCAAATATATAACAAGCACTGTGTAAACTTTTCATTTGAGACACCAAAACGGAAACTATTAGAAGCTATATCTATCAAGCATACTTGCAATTTAAAGTTTCTCCAGAGCTGGAATAACCCAGGTTGCTCAGTATCACGATACAATCATCATCAAGCCTCTTACGCATGCGAGCAACATCTACTTTCTTGATTTCACCTGTTGCCCCATAATCTACACCAGCAACAACTCCTCTTCTCTGAAAAATGAAATAACAGTACTTTTCAGAATTTGTACCAACGAAAAAAATTCAAAAATCAAGAAAACAACTTAATGTTTAATGTCACTTTTGAAAGAGTAAGATTCTTACCTTGGCTGCAAGAAAGTTACCACTCTCGACGCTGACACCAACTTGATGCAAACGACTATTGTCACCATGTCTACGAATATTGCATATGGAAGGTCCTGGAGAAAGCTTTGCCTCTATTGTCTTAGATATGGCCCCAGCTGCTTGCCTTGCAGCATCTAGAGAATCCGAGTCAGTTACCCTGTACTGACCAACAAACTTTGGCTTCTTTCCTGAAAAGTAACAACTAACAGATACCTCCTTAGTTTCAAACTTATAGCACTTCAAATGGCTTAAACAAACCAACAACTTCAAGAACCTAACGAATTAATAATCTAACTAAACTAAGAAATGCATTTTGAAATCAATAACACCAATAAATCATATTTTGTGCTCCACTCTGTGATATCATGCTTAGGGTTCGTTTGGGATTGCTTCTCTAGAAAGCACTTCTAGTAGACGGGCTTTAACCACGTTGAAATGTTTACTAGAATCCAAATCCTACATGGAAAAACACTTGTAAGTAATACTTGAAGAAGCATCTGGCAAGTGCTTCTTTCCAAAATGTGCTTCTATGAGTCAGAAGCACCTCTAAGTTTTTCTGCCAAACGCAATCAGATGCACTTTTAGGTGTCAAAAAACGCTTTTAGCGTCCGTGAAGCAATCCCAAACCAGCCCTACTCATTGAGAATGTACAATAACAATCACATACAAAAAAACCCTCACCTCTCTGTGCCAAAAGTTCATCAATTTGCACATGGGTTCCTGGAACAAGAACAAATCTGATCCCCAGGTGATGAAGAAATGCTATATCCTGCATAAAACCCAAATATAAATAGACATATACTAACAAACAATCCAATGCAAAGAAAACGAATAAAAAGATTTTCTTTTCCTTCCGTTGATTGGCATTGTTTGTTTCATTTTCTCAGCAACCAAACAGTTCAAAGAGAAAATTTTCTTAGCAACCAAACAGTTCAAAGAGAAAGTTAGAAAAAGGCAGAGGACCTGCCTTGAGAATGGGTTCCAAGTGACTACTAGACACAATTTCACCCGATATAATCACAACGAAGGTACCGCCGCGGTGGGCCCACAAATACGGCCAAGCCTCCCGGAACCACCGCACGAACTGCTCGTCCTCCATGCTATTGTAGTTCTCGCAATCGCTCTCGCTATCCTCCATCACAGGGCCATACGCATTGCTGCTGCACTTGAGGGAAATTCCAGCCCTGCCCTTCCGCCTCCCGCTATTCGCCACAGGCAGCCGACAGGGTTTTTCGGTGACGGTAAGAGAAGAGCGGCTTGGCGAGGTTAGCTGGGCGGTTACGGTGGCGAGTCGTCGGTGGGTTCCTAACGAGGTGTATGTGGCGGCCATAGAAGGGGTTGAACGAAAAATGCACACACA